TGCAGTCATACATTGAAAAATTAGATGAGCAGATCAGTAAAACATTTACCCTTACCGTGATTGAGAAATTAATACATAGTGGCGGAGGAGGTGGAGGAGATGGAGATGGAGATGGAGATGGAGATGGAGACAAGAAGAAGAAGGGGGTGCGTCAAGATGAAGTGAAAGAAGTAAGAAAAATCAAAGTGTCATGGACTTACACAGGTAAGAAGGAAGAAAGTTTATTGCATTGGATTGTTGCAGTAGAGTCCTGTGAATACGAACAATGCATACCATATTTGGATAGGGTCCTTATGACCAGTTCATGTATGACCGGGGATGCGATGAGCTTTGCAATCTCCCTGCAAAAAAAAACATCTTGTCAGACTCTGATAGAGAATTCTCAGCAAACTCGAATTAAGGATTTCTTTAAAGCAATTCGAGAAAGATTTTAGGGCAAAAATTTAGCCCGAAGAGCTCAGATGCTAATCCTAAATATTGTCGATCGAAAATGAAAAAGTGTGTCCGCACTTAACGCTACCATGGACGAACTGTTGCAATGCGCTGAACATGGACTTACTCCGATGTAGATCCTTAATAACTTTGCTAGAGCACTGCCCGATTCTCTCCATACCCAATTATATCCCCGTACCAAGAAGGAAGGAATGACCTACGAGAAATTTACTAAGATTGCAATAGACCATGTCGGTTTCTTGGCTGAGGCAAATTATTGCCATTATTGGAAAGATTTACAGACCGACAAGAAATGAAAGAACAATACCATCTCGGGAACTTCTGACCTTTGAAGAACGAGGTGTTGAAACTCTCTCATATGACCAGATAGACTATGGTCTAGAAGGGGGATTACATGACCGTTGCAGCCCGCGGGGGAGGGCGACAAGGAAGAGGCCGTGGTAGAGGAAGAGGAGGTCGAGGTCGTAGAGATAGAGAACCAGTCACCCAGAGGGGTGGTAGCGAAGGTAGCTATTACGTGGGTGGAAGGGGCAATGGTCCCTCACAAGGTGGCCGAGGACCCAACTGCACATGGGGAAGGGGAAGAGAAAGAAGCACGTGGAATAGAAATTGGAACCGACCATATCCACCCCATCCTGGCATGTCTGAAGGCAGACCTTGGGAACGAATGGGAATAACGAAAAAAGTTTGGCAAGATAGAAAAATTGTTGGACAGTGCCTTAAATGTGGTAACCCCGACCGCATTGTTCCCTTTTGCTCAGACTACAAGCAACCAAAAGGGATCAGCCAGTAGGGGTCTCAGTTGCCTCTAAGGAACTTCGGATGCAAGTAGACTGAAATCCTCCCATTCGAAGGTTCCCGTGACGGAGACTGAAGAGCTAGACGGTCCCCACCTAGTTAGTTGTCTAGAGGTAGTTAGTGTGTGTACCTCTCTAGGTGGATCCCTCGCTGGCATGGGTGATGAGTTGGCCACTCGTCGCCAAGCCTGAGCCGAAATGAAGAAACGGAAAGGGCAGCTAATAATTGCAGATTAAGAAGTCGATAAAGTAAGAGTAGGTGGAATGATTGACAGTGGGTCAACGCGCAACTACATTAGTAAGAAAGGTATAGAAAATTGCGTCTTGGGCTAAAGGTTAAGCAATTAAATGAGCCCATAACAAGTATAATAGCAAATAACAGCGAGATTGTCATGAAGAGATATGTTGAGGGGATCAAGACATACTTTCGGCTCGACGTAGAGGGGAAGGTGGAACGCGTTCTCCACTCTCTGACTCTCTTGGTGGAAGACAGTCTCCCTTTTCACATTCTTTTAGCCACATATTGGGGGGAAGCTGCAGATGCGAATGTGAAGTTGAGAGCACATGAGTGTTGGCTCCCTAGCCCGCAGGGTGGAAAGAAGAAGATTCGCTTGTATCATGAATTTGGTAAGGAAAGCAGCTTAGCTCATTGTTGCATGAGTGCCCCCGCATTCGCCCGTCACATAAAGAAAAATAATCTGATTGATCCGGTGTTTGTGGCATATGTGCACCCGATAAAGGAAGGGGAAGTTAAGGAGGATGAAAACTCCCGAGAAATCAAAAAAATTATGAAAGAATTTGCAGATGTGGCAGAGGCCCCAAGCGGTGTGGTAGAACGACCTATTAAGCATCGCATTGATATTATACATGGAAGTCAGATTCCAAAGGGCCCAATTTATAGAATGTCACCAAAAGAATCAGATGAACTGCGAACCCAACTAGACGAGTTGCTGGAAAAGGGATGGATTAGGCCTAGCTCCTCACCGTATGGTGCGTAAGTGTTGTTTGTGACAAAGAAAGATGGCGGGGTCCGTATGTGTATTGATTATAAAAGATTAAATGACATAACTGTTAAAAATACTGAGCCATTACCCAGAATTGATAATTTGCTGGATAAAGTTCAAGGTTGTAAGTACTTCATGAAAATTGACTTGAAGTCTGGCTACCATCAGATTGAGGTAGAATCAGAAGACCAATATAAGACTGTCTTTCGCACTAGGTATGGGCACTATGAATTCATTGTGTTGCCCTTTGGTCGTACTAACACACCCTCAACCTTTCAGCGAACAATGAATGAACATTTTCGTGAGTGGCTTGATAAGTTTGTGGTTATATATCAGGGTGATATACTGATTTTTAGTAAAAGTCTAAGTGAGCATTGTGAGCACTGCGAGGCCACTGCCTCTATGAGCCCCATTCAACCCCTTTTGGGAGCCTGTCGGCCGCCCTAAGTGAAGGCAAGCTCGACGAGGCCCGTCAGGGCCTTATTTCGGCCTCTGCGCAACTCAAGGAAATTCAGGCAGTTGCGCACCGCTAGTTGGTTGGGTGAACCCAGGCCTTGGGCCGCCTGTGTGAATGTATGTGAAGCAGGCCCTGGGCTGGATACGGGTACTGGGCCAAACACAGGCCAAAGGCAGTTGGGCACATGCAACCACCTCAGGCCCAAGGCCTGTTTTCGTCGAGCTGGGCCTCAGGCTACCGGGGCCTACTGGAAGCTTCCTGGGACTGCACACAGGCAGGCCACTTCGATATAGCAAAGGGCCTGCCTCCGTATTCGGCATTCGGGTGCTGGCCGCATGCTGCGCAAGCGCTGCTGCGCTATTTGCTGGCTGGCGTCTACGCTCTCACGGGCGAGCAGGGGAGGAGCACGCAGCCATAGCCGAGCTGCGTTGCTGTAAGTTGGGTGAGGCGCAGGGTGGTCCTTGGGTGCTAGTGGCATCTGTGTGTTGGGGAACGAGGTTGTGAGTGTGGCGAGAGACATACCTGGCGTGCAACCTTGGTCGCCATATGCTCGCACTTTGGGAATGTTGTTGACGTCATCTTTCGACATTCATAGTGTAGGCTAGATAGGATCTGCCACATGTAGTATGGGCGCCGAGCGCCAGATAGGATATCAACTTTGGTTCTTTGTTGATGATGATGGGACTATTTCAACATGGTCAATTTTGAACTCTTGGGGTGTTCTTATTTGGTGAATCTCGTGATGCAATTCTGTTGTTGGTTCGAGGTCACGACTATCTGGACTCATATGTATGATGCTGTTTGATTGCTGCAGTTCGCTATTGCTCATCTTCCTTGCAATTTGGTATCAGAGTTGTGGTACGTTTGGCGCTTGTCTTCTGCCTTATGCGGTACATACATGCGGTCTGCTGGGCGAGTTTGGCCGTAAGTGGTGTGTAGTGAGGAGGGTGGAGACGAGTGTTTAGGCGACCCAGGAGGTGAGGGAATCGCCAGGAAGGCTACGTGAGGTGAAATGTGGTATGGACAGTGTGATGAGAACTATCTAATGTGCGATTGATGCTGAGGTGGAACGACGAGATAATGCTGGTTGTGTCGATGCAGTGACTGGTCATCTCAATCGCCATTTGGTCATCTGGTGAGATTATCTCTGCGGTTGGGGGCAGCTATTTGAGGTACGTTGCTCTTAACCTTATCTACCCTCTCCGACACTTCTTACCGTGAGGTTGTGTGTTCCTTCTTTAGAGTCCTCTCATTGTGAGGTGTCGAGTGCACTCAACCTTGAGAGTCGGCAATGTTCACGTGGAGCATCTAAGAGAAGATGGGCGGAGCTTTCTGAAGGGTCCTGGACGAAGCACTGGGTCACGGTCACCATGCCAACCCACAGCGAGTAGAGCACGCATGCCTTGCTGCTTATCCTTTGTTCGGCTGTTGCGCTGTTAGATGGGTACTGTTGGGCAGGCCAGCCCTTGAGGGAGACGAGACCGGGCGTCTTTAAATAAGCACAGGAAGGGGAACCATTGGCTGTGATCGTCGTCCGACTGCGACGTAAAAGAATTCCTAGAGTCACTTGGGGGCGGACGTTAAATTGCCTCTGGATCAGCCAATGGTTGTAAGGCTCGCTGCACGCGAGGATAATCTCGTGCAGGGCTGGCCAGCTCAGCAGATACTCCGGGCACATGGGTGGGCCGAACACACACCTTTAGACACGCAATGCCTCCGGATTGCTCAGGGACGCTGACGTCAAGTGATACTCAGGGGAACTAAGGGAGGGGTTGATTCCAGGTGATAAGTTCGAGAAAATTCCATGCTGTCCTATCCACACAAATAATTTTATTTTTATGTTTTGATTAGTTAGGTGTACAACCATTGACATCTGACAGACATCATTAGTTAGAACTGTTTATTGTTCCTGGTGCTTCTGTTTGCGGACTAGTCAGACTAAAAATAGTTTCGTTTGTAGAAACCTGGACTTACGTGTTAGAACCCGAAGGTATCTGCTCTGGAATAGTCACCAATTAATTATTTATTTATTTTAAATTGGGCTGTGCACTCTCATGAGGTAGGCATCTTGAGTGACCTAGTGTAGACGGTGCACAGTGTTGTAGCATATGAGCGACAGGGAGGACACACCACCGGACGACTGGATCTTGCGATCAGCTAGACGCCCAATAGCCCACGTGTCCTTAGGATCGGAGGGTGATAGGATTCTGTTCCGCCAGCTTAGGGAGAGGCAGCAGCAGCAGAGGAGAGCTAGAGCAGCCGAGGCCAGCGGGGCTTTCGCTAGCGAGGCCGCTGCTACAGCAGTCATGGCCACTTCCGCTATGGTCACTTCTGCGCAGCAGACTTCCGAGGCCAGCAGTTCAGGTATCGTCGGGTCAACGGTTCGCGCAGACTGTGAGTCAGTCCACTGGCGTTATGGCAAGCCCGGCAGCAGTGTTGACTCCAGAGGATGTCGCCATCCAGCAGGCAGCCCTGCAAGAGACACAGTTACAACAGGCATTAGGACAGATAAAAGCAGAGAAGGAGAAGATGATTAGAAGAAGAGCCAAGATGCAGCGAAGAGAAGCAGACATAGAGGAGTTAGAGACGATGGACCTGACGAACATGGATGATGATGTGAGGGTGGTTAGGAGAGCCCTGCTAGGAGTAATAGAGATGCAGGAGCATCAGACTACCATCCTTCAGGATATCCAACAGAGCGTAGCCATTCTGGCAGAGCGTGCTCAGGCGGCACCATCACCATCCGGGCGTGGTGCCTAGCCCGTGCCATATCCTCCTTTTTTTGTCCTACCAGTGACAGGGGTATCCGCATATGTAGCCCCGTCATCGGTTGCGATGGTTTCCCTGAGCATGCCGCTGTCAGCAGGGGTATCAGCAGGGACTAGTTTGCAGGTTCCTGTTCAGACAGTGTTCACCCAAACTCCGTCGCAGGTTGCAGTCACCACGCAGCCTGCTGTATCACAGCCTGTGCAGCCGCAGGGCACACAGCCCCAGCAGCTGGCACAGCAACCTGTGTCACAGGGTCCACAGCTCGTAGTGATGCAGGGACCGGGACAGACACAGTGGGTTCCAAAGACGGCCATCGCCGCTTCCAAACCTTTCACAGGGGATAAGAGGGGCGAAGACCTCGACACGTGGTTGAGGGCAGTGCCGGTCTACGTCATGTGTAAACTTACCTTGCCGCACGAAGAAGTGCTTGTGGCTGCTTCCTACCTAGAGGGTAGTGCAACAAGATGGTTGAGTGGTTTAGTGCAGCTCCAGGGGTGTGGTCATGACTTCCGCGCTTGGGCGGTCACCCAGAAATTGGAGGACTTCCTGAAGATGGTGGAGGACAGGTGGTACGATCTTCAGGAGGCCCAAAGGGCCACTGATGCTATCCTGACACTGCACATGAGACAGTTCAAGTCAGTAAGGGAAGCCACCGACGTTGTTGAGCGTCTTATATGCGTCCCAGGGGTGCGTTATGACCCCCAGGTCTTACTTACCTCGTACCTGAGATGCTTTTCATTGCCTCTCGGAACCAGTTGGCAAGGGAGACCAACATCAATTTGCACAACTTTCCTTCGTTCAGCAAGATGGTCCTTGACCTCGAGGCTAAGATAGGGCATGGACAGGCACCCACTACAGATGGGAGGAAGAAGACACTGCCTCCTAACTGGAAGGCGAAGGGTCGCTTAATGTTTGTCGATAATGATGGTTCCACTATCGAAGTAGACGAACACTTCCAGGAGGGAGTAGGTTCAGAGGCGGGCAACGTAGAAACTTCAGAGGGTGGAGTGGTCGCTGTCGTAGCTCAAAAAGGAAAGGCGAACGGTAGACGCCGTGGAGGTTCCCGGTCTAGGAGTCAAGTTGACCCCAATGCCCCTCCATGGGAGAAAGCGGGTCTTACAGAGGACGTGTGGAGAGACCATTACTCACGGCAGGCCTGTATTCGTTGTGGTCAATATGGCCACAACCAATTCAAATGCTGCAATAAGAAAGTGACAGAAAAGATCCCGCCTACGATGGGGCAGGTGTTGAGATCCTCTCATCCCGTTGGTAGCAACGTTGCCAGTACTTCAGGCAGTGCTCCGGGAAACACGTCGGGCCAGTAGGAATAGTAGTTGTTCCTGCTAGTGGCGAGGTGGTGGAGATACCCTCACCATCTTGAGAGATGGCCCAAGCTACTGACTCCGGCGTCGTCCCACAAGCACATTCAGACTCTTCGAGCCTCTGTTCGATGAATGTGTTCGAGTCCTTAGAGGAGCTAGAGGTGGAGTGGTCTAGATCAGCCCCGCTAGCTTCTTGGACAGCACTAGTCAAAGCCCCGAAGGGTGAGATATTCGTCAGCGAGGTTGTTATTGGCAGCCGGAAGGCCGGGGCCTATTATGACACTTGCTCGACAAGGAACTTTATTAGGCGCGCGTGCGTTGAGAAGCTGCGTTTACAGGGGCGAGTGCAGCGCCTGAGTCGACCTGTGGAGTCGACCTGTGCCAACAAACAGCGCATGGTAGTCAATGACTACCTCCAGGATGTTGAGTGTTGTTTCTCGTACGCGAGAGGGGAATTGAGACATCGCGTTTCGTTCCTAGTGAGTGACGAGCTCCCAATGGATATGTTGTTAGGTATGTACTACCTCTCTGTGGCACAGCCCCAGTTTGACTGGGACCGAAAAGTGGTCAAACACACTTTGCCAGGTGGAGGGACCACCAGATTACACAAGTTCAAAGCTAGTAGTCTGATTGAGTCCTACGGGTGCATGTGTGCGGCCGCGTTCTACAATTATTATAAGCAAAATCAGGAGGAGGGTATATACTTAGTTTATGTCTCTGCTGCAGGCGAGCCGGTGAAAATGTCGCCGGAGAGAGAGGGAGCAGTTGCCAAGTACCCTGATCTATTTGAAGAGCCGACAGGGGTTGTAGAGAGGGAGGTCGTCCACGCGATAGAGATTATCCCAGGGTCTAGTATCCCGAAAGGTAGGATCTATCGGATGTCTCCAGGCGAGCTTGATAAGCTTCGCCGACAACTCAAGGAACTCGTAGAGAAGGGTTGGATCCGACCGAGTGTCTCTCCTTATCGGTATACAATTTTATTTGTACTTAAGACGAAGGAGGGTACACTTAGGATGTGCATTGACTATAGGGGCCTCAATGCCATCACTGTAAAAAACAGAGAGGTCCTACCACGCATCGATGATTTGTTAGATAGAGTGCAAGTGTGTCGGTACTTCAGTAAGATAGATCTGAAGTCTGGGTACCATCAGATTGCAATCCGGCCCGAGGATCAACACAAAACCGCCTTTCAGACCAGGTATGGTCTGTACGAGTTTGTGGTGATGCCTTTCGGCCTTTGCAGTGCCCCTGACACCTTTCAGCACGCTATGAATCGGATATTCCATGACTACTTGGATCGGATTTTTAGTAAGACTGTCGAGGAGCATGTTGCACATACTTATTTTTAGTAAGACTGTCGAGGAGCATGTCGCACATTTGGACAAAGTCCTCAGTCTCCTGCGACAGCACAAGTTCAAGATCAACGGTGAGAAGTGTGAGTTTGGCCGCACCCGTGTCTTGTACTTGGGTCATGAGATCTCCGCGGAAGGGTTGAAGCCCGATGACGTGAAGGTGGCCAGCATTCGTGTTTGGCCAAGTCCTCAGTCTGTGACTGAGATGAGATCTTTCTTAGGAATGACAGGCTACTGTAGGACCTTTGTTAAAAACTATAGTATAGTGGCGGCTCCTTTGACTGATTTGACGCGCCTTGACACCCCATGGGAGTGGACAGACGAGTGTGAGGCTGCTTTCAAGCATCTGAAGCATGCGTTGACGCACTACGAGGTCTTGAAACTTCCTGATCCTGATAAGGCATTTATAGTCACCACGGATGCCAGCCAATATGGCATTGGTGTCGTGCTCGCGCAGCAGGAGGGGCCAAAGTTGAGGCCTGTAGAGTACATGTCCAAGAAAATGCCGTCTCAGAAGTTGGCTAAGTCCACCTATGAGAAGGAACTCTATGCAGTTTACAAGGCTCTGACCCATTGGAGGCACTATCTCCTTGGGAGGTTCTTCATCCTCAGGACTGATCATCAGACCCTGAGATGGATGAGAACTCAGCCTGTACTCTCTGACGCCCTCAAGCGTTGGATCGAAGTCATTGAGCAATATGACTTTGACCCTCAGTATCTGAAAGGGGAGTACAACAAGGTTGCTGATGCCTTGTCGCGTAGACCTGATTTCTCAGGTGCGGTGATTACTGAGTTTAATCTGACGGACAATGTTACTCAGTCTTTGGTGGAAGCCTATCACGAGGATCAATTCATGTCTGAGATCATACGCAGACTTCTGCCGAGTTCGAATTGGTCAATGGCTTGCTGTTCCTTGAGAAGGACGGGAATAAACGATTGTGTGTCCCAAATAGCGAGTCTTTGCGTAGTTTGTTTTTAGGTGAGTGTCATAATGCCACCGACCATTTTGGGTACAAGAAGACCGCAACCAATCTGCTGCAGTGGTTCTGGTGGCCCACGATGATGCGAGATGCCCAGCTGTACGTGGAGACTTGTCAAGTTCGTCAAAGGGACAAGCCACGCACTCAGACTTCTCTTGGGCTCTTGAAGCCCCTTCCGATTCCGGAACGGCCTGGTGAGAGTCTGTCCATGGATTTCATGGATACTCTAATCACCAGCAAGAGTGGGATGCGTCACATCTTCGTCATCGTGGATAGATTTAGTAAGTATGCTAGGTTAGTTCATGCCGGAAACAGCAAGAATGGAGTACGTAATCCGAATGTTCAAAGAAAATTGGGTTAGAGACTTTGGTTTACCGAGGTCTATGGTCAGTGACAGGGATGTCCAGTTTACCAACGAGTTGTGGAAGGCCGCTGCAGAGCAGAGAACTCAGTTCCAGATGCCTTATGGGAATCACCCAGAGGCCAATGGACAGGCAGAGCAACTCAATCGCGTTGTGCAACACCTGTTGAGGCACTACATTAACCCCAACCAAGTGCTCTCATCGCCAGCCTCTCCAACAATGTTGTACACAACGCCACTAGGGTGAGCCCGAACAGTTTACTACCGACTTTCAAGCCTAGACTACCCCTTGACTTTCTCCTTCCTGAGAATCAATCAACTGCTGCACCGAGTACTTTAGAGTTTGCCTACAGATATGAACAGAAAATGCAGCAGGCGGTAGAGCAGATGCAGAAGGCACAGGCAGCAATGATAGAGTCTGAGAACAAACACCGTCGACCTTCTACCTTTCCGGTTGGAGACAGAGTTTCGGTAAAGTCCTCAGAACTGGGACAGGAGTACGAGATTTCCCGTAAACTCATGCCACAGTACTTTGGACCATGGGAAGTCTTAGATATTGTCGGTACTGATCCAAATAGGCCATGTTATGTAATCCGAATCCCAGGTCATCTTCGTACTTACCCCGTCTTTCACGCCTCCAAACTTGCACCATTCAAAGAAACTAATCAGTTTCCATCTCGCCGCTCAATGCTGCCCCCAACCATGGACGGAGAGGTGGACATCGATGATATCGTCGACCACAGAGAGCTGCCGGTATCAAGACGAACAGGCAGGGGACGTCCTCCGAAACCGAAGCTGCAGTACCACTTTCGGTTCCGACATCATACTGATCCGAAGGAGGACCGATGGTTTACCAGGGATGAACTCATGCAGACCGCTCCACAATTGGTAGCCCACTAAGAGAAATCTCTGCAGAAAGGAAAGCGCCCGATGGTCGAAGGCTGAGCTTCTCAGAGGACTGTTGAAGCCAAGGAGGAGGGAATGTGAGGCCACTGCCTCTATGAGCCCCATTCAGCCCCTTTTGGGAGCCTGCCGGCCACCCTAAGTGAAGGCAGGCTCGACGAGGCCCCTCAGGGCCTTATTTCGGCCTTTGCGTAACTCAAGGAAATTCAGGCAGTTGCGCAGCGCCAGTTGGTTGAGTGAACCTAGGCCCTGGGCCGCCTGTGTGAATGTATGTGAACCAGGCCCTGCTGGATACGGGTACTGGGCCAAACACAGGCCAAAGGCAGTTGGGCACATGCAACCACCTCAGGCCCAAGGCCTGTTTTCGTCGAGTTGGGCCTCAGGCTACCGGGGCCTATTGGAAGCTCCCTGGGATTGCACGCAGGCAGGCCACTTCGATATAGCAAAGTGCCTGCCTTCGTATTTGGCATTCGGGTGCTGGCTGCATGTTGCGCAAGCGCTGCTGCGCTATTTGCTGGCTGGCGCCTACGCTCTCACAGGCGAGCAAGGAAGGAGCACGCAACCATTGCCGAGCTGCGCTGCTGTAAGTTGGGTGAGGCGCAAGGTGGTCCTTGGGTGCTAGTGGCATCTGTGTGCTGGGGAACGAGGTTGTGAGTGTGGCGAGAGACCTACCTGGTGTTGGAAGCGTGCGACATTGGTCGCCATATGCTCGTACTTCAGAATGTTGTTGACGTCATCTTTCGGCATCGTAGTGTAGGCTAGATAGGATCTGCCACATGTAGTCTGGGCGCCGAGCGCCAGATAGGATATCAACTTTGGTTCTTCGTTGATGATGATGGGACTATTTCAGCATTGTCAATTATGAACTCTTGGGGTGTTCTTATTTGGTGAATCTCGTGATGCAATTTTGTTGTTGGTTCGAGGTCACGACTATCTGGACTCATATGTATGATGTTGTTTGATTGCTGAGGTTCGCTATTGCTCATCTTCCTTGCAGCACCTTCGACTCGTGTTAAATAAGTTGCGTGAAACAAAGTTGAAATTGAACCCCAAGAAGTGTGAGTGGGCAAAGTGTAAGGTATTGTATTTGGGACACGTTCTAGATGGAGAAGGAATTAAACCGGAAGACGCCAAGATTGCAGCTATTCGAGATTGGCCTAACTCACGCATTTTGACGGAACTACGGTCGTTCCTTGGGTTGGCTAACTACTACGCAAATTCGTGAAACATTTTACGATAATTGTTGCTCCTCTTCGTAGACTGTTGAAAAAGGAAACAATCTGGAAGTGGGACCAAGATTGTACGTCTTCGTTTAAGCGTCTGAAGAAATGCTTAATTAATTATCCGGTCTTAAGAGTTGCTGATTTTTCTTTGCTCTTTGTTGTTACCACCGACGCCAGTCACTACGGGATAGGTGTTGTACTCCAAAAGGATGATGGGAATGGATACAGGCCTGTTTAGTTTATGTCTCGAGGACTGCCTAGTGAGAAGGTCGCCACTTCCACGTATGAAAGAGAGTTGTTCGCTTTCCGGGAAGCTTTGAGCCATTGACGCCATTATCTCCTAGGTCGCCACTTGAAAATGTACTCAGATCATGAGACACTCCGCTGGGTAAAAACGCAAGCCCAAATGACCCCTAAATTGACAAGGTGGGCCGCGAAAATTGATCAATATGATTTTGAACTAAAGCCAGTAGAAGGTAAGTACAACTTTGTTGCTGACGCATTGAGTTGAAGATCTAACTTTTTCGGTGCCATTATAACGTACTTAGACATAGGCGCTGGCATTCAAGATAAGATTAAGTATGCATATTCCACTGATCTTGTTTATTCCACTATACTAAAACGTATTCAAGACGTGCCACATGAGTTTTCTGACTTTCGCGTAACTAAAGGACTGTTGTTTGAAAGAATTGATGTGCATGCTAGCCTTTGTATTCCAGAGAAGGAAGAGATAAGAAGTGTGATCTTGGGGGAATGCCATGATACTGAAGGCCATTTCGGGTGGAAAAAGACCTATGCTAACCTCTTGCATTCCCACACCTGGCCTTGAATGAAACCTAATTGCATTTCGTATGTGCAAGGTTGTCAAGTGTGTCAGCGAAACAAGAGCACCACACAACCTCCTCTTGGTGTATTAAAGACATTGCCTATCCCCAAAGGTCCTGGAGACTCTGTGTCTATTGATTTCATAGACGCTAAGGTAAAAAGCAGGAATGGGAAACGCCAAGTTGTGGTAATTGTTGACAGATTCAATAAGATTGTTGTCTTTATAGCGTTATCTACGAAAGCTAGGACTTACTTAGTGATTCGGGAATTCTTTAGCCACTGGGTAAAAGACTACGGTTATCCCTTGACTATTGTTAATGACAGAGACTCTCAGTTCACCAGTGAACAATGGCAACAACTAATGAACGTCTATGGCTTCAAATTAACAATGTCGTTAGGAAGACATCCTGAAACGAACAGGCAAACTGAGCAAATTAACAAGATTCTGCAGCAAATGCTACGTATATATTCGTCCCGACCAGATTGACCGGGATGAACATTTGCCCAAAGTTGTAAGTGCCTACAATAATTTTGTGCACTTATCCACTTCTAGAACTCCGATGGAGTTACATTTGGGATGGCATCCCCGCAGACCTCTAGATTGTCTACATCTGGATTAAGTACATAAACTTCCGCCAGAAATTAGGGAATTTACAGTGCAGTATTAAAAAGACTTGGAAAAGGTGAAATAAAATATAATGGAGGCACAAAATTAAATGATCGAACAGGCTAACAAACATCGAAGACATTCTCGATTTGTTGTAGGCGATCTCGTATGGGTGAAATCCAAAGAATTTATTCCCGAGGAAAACATTTTCCAGAAGTTGTTACCTGCCTACAGGGGACCTTGGCAAGTATTGGATGTGATAGGAGACGTAGATGGTCCCTCCTACGTTATTGAGACTTCTCCACACTTGCATAGATACTCTGTATTCCATGCATCAAAGCTCTTACCTTGCCTGACTAACGAACTATTTCCCAGTCAAAGAATAACAATTCCTCCAAATATGGATGAAAAATTTGATCTTTATAAAATCATTGCTGAAAGTACTATTCAAACTGGGCGCAGAGGTAGACCTCAGCGGCAATATAAAGTCAGATTTGCATATCAGGATCCAAGTGAAGACCACTGGTACCATAGGGAAGAGCTAATGGAATCTGCATCAAACATAATGTCCTACTATGAAAGAGCAAGAAGAGGTGCTAATATTGTAGACCGATAAGTGTTTCTAAGAAAACTTCGAAATTAGGCCGGCGAGTGTAAAAGGGTCTTTACGTTTCAGACCCCTAAATGTGACCCCAACATAAAAAAGGCCCTGTCGGCCAGAACTCAATTTCACGAGCAACATTTCAAAGGACAAGTTCCCTGAAGCAAATGTCGCATCCAGAGTGAAATGAAAAGTCGTTTTGAAAAGTCACAGTCAGGTCCTAGATGAACAGGTATTGCGCTCAATTTTAAGGCTCGGACAGGGTCATGTCTGTTCGGCAATAAGTCAAAGGTCACAGTCCCATACGAGTCACAGTCCCAAGGGTCAAATCTGATTCAGACCAGGAGTCCAAAAGACAGGCTCGTCGGCCAAAGCAGCAGCAGACCATGGGAAAGGATACTGTGACACACACTTTGCAACAACAGGTACTGGGTTGGAGTCCCAGGCACTTGGAGGCTGGATGCAGACCACACCAGACCAGTCCAACACTATAAAGGAATTGCCAGCCTCCCATTTGGCAGATACTCATTCGCATGAGAGTGTGGAAGTTATGAGGCAATTGTGAGCCAGATGTGATTGAGCTGCGACATGCTTGAGACGTACGCTGGAGAGAGAGAGAGTTGGGCGTTGGCTGGAAGAAGAGCAGCCATAGTTGCGCCAACGCCAATTAGTATTAGTGGTAGGCATAGATAGTAGAGAAGACCACTGAGTAGTATTCAGAGTAGATCCTCGAGTAATAGCGAGTGTGCATGCATGGTGAGTGTCAGTAGACCAGGGCTATAGACACAAAGAGAGAGAGAACAGAAGAAGAGAAGGCAGAGAAGTGAGCTATGGTGGAACTTACCTGCTGAGCGTTGTTCTTGATGATTGGCTGCTGGCGCTGACGAGCGCCAGGATTGGAACTCTTGTTGGATGAAGAAGACTTGTAATATTGTTAGGCGTCTTACATTCTGAACTCGTGATTCTCTTTCCTTAATCTGGTTCTGATTCTGATCATTGAGTTGCGCTTCCTGGTTTCCACTCATCTTCCACTGAACTTTGTGTGGGATATTGCAAATCTGTGAGATCTATGTTACATGCATGTTATTTGATACACCCCAGCAAATGACGAACAGACAGGTTCCTTGCAATTTTGGTATCGGAGCAGAACTTGTTACTCTCACTGGAGTATGCT